AGTGCACTCCAAGTGCCACATATGCATCTATTTTTCAGAAAATTATATCTGCATTTCTCTTACAAGAGCACAACAGGAACCAAAGTAAAAGAGTGTAATGGATACAGCACATAGGATAAATCATATCTTTAAAATAATAATAATAAAATAATAATAATAAAAAACATTTTACACCATGTCCTATATCCTGCTAATATTTTCAGAATATGGCCTTGATTGTAAAACAAAAGCAAGCATTTACAATTTCTGGATAAAGACTGCTTACTCTTATGCAAGGAATGGATGTTTTGTCTTGACAAAATTCTTTGTAGTTACTGGACAGAAACGTCTCTGTTTCAATATCATCAGATTGAGTACAAAACACTGGGGAGACGACATTTTTTCTTATTGGTGGTTGGAAACTGAAGTTATATAAGCAGAAAAAATGTTGACCCTTAATGATACACCTATTTTTTTCTTTGATGCAAACAGCTAGAACACCTTTTTGATATTCTAAAAACAAAAAAAAAATTGTTAATCTTCAGATTAATAAATTAGGTCATTATAATAATAAATTAGTTTTTTTTTTTTTCAGTTTTAAAGTTCAGCAACCTCTGACCAAGTATTTACAACAATACTTGAGAGTTCCTTTACAAAAAATACATTTTCTTTTCACATTAAGCATACTGGGTATCTGTGTCTCTTATGACAAGCAATTGTAAAAGAAAAAAGGCAATGCACAAATGGGTAATTAGTATAAAAGTGCCAAGACCTGTTTGGAAAGTTACCATTGTATTATACAGTCAGAGTTATAAATGAGGCAAGCTACAACAAACTTCCAGCTTAATGTGGACAATATTCCAGTAGTTGTTTCAAACAATTGTTTGAAGGAAAAATAAAAAAAAAAAAAAAGGAAAGAAAGAAAAAAAAATAAAAAGAAAATCCAGGAGCTGATGGTGTTATTCTGTGGAGCTGATTAGTGCTGCATGTATATTGTCATCAGTGTCTCTAGCCAATGCATTCATTAAAAAGCCTTTTTAAGGCTAAGCAGGAAAAGAAAAATAAGAAACACCCTGAAATGTAGCAAGTAGCAAGAGCAACGCTTACTGCTATAATCGTGCACGTACTGTACACACGCAAACACAAGAGTGCACACACACACGCACACACACGCACACAAACACTTTCAAATCAAATCAAACTGTAGGTAGAATGAGATGCTCTTTTCTTGTCTTTCCTAAACTCACAAGCGATTAAGCATTGATACGGAATGCCTGTTTATCTGTTTCTGCTCTGGGTAAAATCACTCTCAGATAAAAATACATTCAACAAGAAAAAAAATAGAAAAAATATATACTGTATATATAGCATTTTATATCTACAGTATATATATGTATAGTGTATATACACATGCACGTATATATACATATGTATACCTACATGCATTTGTATATACATATATATACACAAACATACAAATACTTTTTGTTGTTTTTAGCATAATTATATTTACATAAATATTCCTATAATGCTAAAGTTTAAAGAAGCATGATCTCCTTTTTTTTCTGAGCTTCAAAAAAGGTGCTTGAGTAATATACAATTAAAATTAAGCAGCTTCCTAGCATGGAAGTAGTTTCTAAATCTGCATACCAGTAAATAAGAACATCAACAGGAAAAAAACAACAACCTTAAAACAGTCTCTTTTTTTACTCTCTTGTAAGCAAGAGCTTTGTCCAACAAAATATTTTTCCTTCTCCTGTATGAACAACCAGAGATTGCTATAAAATAACAAAACAAAACCACAACAGACAAAACAAACAAACAAAAGCCCCTGGAACTGCATGGTGTTCTTGACTTTTCCTTCCTTCCTTCAATACTGCTGTCCAAAGATCCAGTGCTCATATCAGGAATTAATTAGGCCTCAGTCATTTGCTAACTCTGCCAAAGTCTGGCTAATCTAGCCAATCAGCTTTGAAGAAAACAAAAATAAAAACAAAAAGCAGCACAAGGTATAATTTTATACATCCTTAATAAACCCACCCTTTATTTTTCTGCTATAACCTTTTCCTTGCTATTTCATTAACTACTGTAGCTTCTCATCATATAGAAAAATATTTGCAGCTACACCACACCTGTGATGTGACAAACTGTTCTAGGAGTGTATTACTGTAGCAACAGCTGGAAAAAATAATCAGACCTTTATGTATTTTTTTCACCTGGGGTTAGGCTTTGCTGCAACAGATGCAATTTCAGAGCAACAAGAGAAACCACTATCCTGCTGCTCGGCAGTATTTTTTATTCATTTTCTTCTCCAGCCAAGCCTGACCAGCTTCTTTTCTCTGAAGCTTCCTTTGACCTCTACTCCTAGCCCCTGATTCCCCCTCCCAAAAAACCTCTATAGCTATGTTACAAGCAAATACATCTTAACAAGTTTTAAAACTTTGGTTCTAAGAAAACACTTGGTCAGTTATCTCAAGGAAAAGTGGGAATGCTTTTTCTGGCACATTGCAGGAGTCAGAGCTCATCCCAGTAAGGTCTTAAGAGCTGTACATGTAGTCACAAATCCAATACAATCCACTAAGCAAGTGCACAATTCTAGTTTTATTTTAATAGCAGACTTAGTCTCTCTCTCTCTCTCTTTCTCTTTCTTTAATTCTCGGTAGGGGTGCAATTCTTCAAACTGTTTGATAGAAATTATCTGCCTGTAGGTTGTTCTGTTTCTGCATGCTGTAGAATCCACTGTATCTTGAATCTGGGTCTGCAATTCTTAGCATCCTCTGAGAACTGTCCACCTGGACCATGGTACCTTTCTTGCAGTCCACATATACCAGTTGATTGTTTAGGCAAGAAGGCTGTTAAAATAGAAGGAGAATACTGAATAAGTTAAAAAAGGTTTGTATTACACTCACAATTTAAAAAAACGTTTATGGTTCAAGTCCAGAAGCACAAAACAAAATCAAACCGGCCCTTATAGAGTCTGGACTTTTGCTAAACTTGTTAAAGGCCTAAGCCAGGCACAAAAACAGACCAACACCCTCTTCTGAATCACCATTTTTCATCTCTGAATGGAGCGCTCGTATTCCCATATCCAGTGCTACCTTTCCTCTGTTTGAGAATCCTTCAAATGAAAAGATTCTGCTGATGAGAGGAAGGTGAAACAATGCTGGGTGCACACTACCTTAAATGTTTCTGGGCCAAGCATAAAGCAGGACAGGCAGTAAGCATACACTATGGATAAATAAGAACTTGGTGACAATGCTCACGCTGTAAGCATGGCACATATCTTAAAAATTCCGGTTTCCACTGATGTAGCTTCTTTTTCCAAGACTTAAATCAGAAGGGTCTTTATTACTAAACATTTACAGTCAGTAACCCTTATCATAAAAAAGTTTTTTTACCCAGATATTTATTACAAAATGTTATTATAAGATGTTTTACATTTGGCTCTTCAAAAGCCTGTGCACTGGGTTTACAAAGAAGTCCTGAGGTTCACTGATGTTAACAGAGTCAGGGCTAAACATTAACAGTTCATGTCTAATTTTAAACATCTTTTGTATCATTTTTCTTTTGGTATTGATATGATTTAAGTACAGTTATTGACTTGTTCTTTATTGAATAACTGTACTATTTTGAACAGAAAGAACATAAGCTAAAACAGGCTTGCCAAAATTTGTTACTAAGATCCATCAGTCACCCAGCAAGTAACAGGATAAACTAGTAAGTGACACCTAGTAGAAGAAATGTTAAAAGAAAGCTACACTTATGACAAAGGCCCTCACAAGACATCTGAGTTTCAGTATATCTGTCCATGGTTTTGCACTGAATCTACATGTGGCTTAAAGTGAGCTTTCTTACCATATGGATGAAAAAAATGTTTCAGCAACAGAAGTGTTTGAGGAAAATTATGCTTCCTAAGTAAAAAGTATGTAGAATTATTGATTAGTTAGAAAACTGTGATTTTCATTTCAGTTTCAAACATTTTGTCACTTAGCAGACTTTCTGAGAGTTTAGGAGTGAATACATCAGAGTTTAAAATGAATTCTTAAGTGCATTCCTGAAGAAATTCAGAAACTAGTATCACGTCTTGAAAGACTGGAAGTGGAATAATATCGATTCTTCTTGTTTCCTATTTATTACAACTAAATTCAACTTTATGCTCTGACTATATTTGTAAACTATGTGGAAAAGGCATTTTTTTTTTTTTTAGAAAAAAAGCTTGCAGCAGTGACAGCAAGTATATGGAGACAATTTTTAAAGTTACTGTATTACTCTTCTAGATGGAACTGAAGAAAATATGGTCTCAAATTGTGTTTGAAGTATGTTTGATTAGAACTAGAAAATAGTAAGTGGGATAAATTGGAGAACTGAGGTAAATAGCACTGAATATGTAGTTAGGGCTTAGTCTGCTGATGGAACTATTACTCAAACAAAACAATACTCCTTTCACTGTTCATTTCCAAGCTACTTGCTTCTTCCTTTTTTTGGTAGTTGCATAATACTGAATACTCTCTTAAAATATTAATCCCAGAACACTATGATACTGTTATTAGAAACTCTGATAAACATACTAGTACATCCAGTACCTGATGTTGGACAAGAATTTTAAAGTGGATGAAAGTTAAGAAAGCAAAAATACTCTTACAAGTTTGACTGCTGATAAGAAAATTGCATATATTTACCTACACATATACAGAGTTGGGTATTTTTTACTTTTTTTTTTCTCCTTAGCTTGATTTGTATCTAGGCTCACAAGTCATTATTATATGGAGTAGGAACTGTTCTCATTTGATAGTGAAAAAAATAATTTAGGAGGCTAAATCAATACCAAGAGACTGACTGAGTGGTGTAAAATGGTGTAAGACATAAAGAGAAAATAATTTGAGAGTTTAGATGATGTGAACTCAATTGCATCCTACACAATGTTCTGGTTAATCTTACTTTCCAAAAGAGTGAAAACCTGGAAACATATAAACACGGCACCTTTGCTGGAGTTTTGTAGCAGGACACTGGAATCCACTGCTTCTTCTGATTGATGAGCAGAAGGACGATAATCAGTAACAGTGCTATCGTGATAGGAATTGCCACCAAGGCAATAGAGCTAACTGATGCATCTTCACTCGGGTGCGGTCCACCACCACTTCTGTATTCCCCCTGGAGATGATTCATGTCTGCAAGGCAAATGTGGGCATTTGGTAGTAATTATACATGGATGGGCCTTGACCATAAAGAAAAATGTAATTCTGAAAGTCCCAGTTGCAGATCTTGTTACTCACATGAATTTGGACCTTCTCTCTTGAAATGTCACCTTATTTATATGAATTAGAACAATGGAAAGCTAGTATCTTGTATAGTGATTGTTTTAGCTAGAAGGCCATCAAAAAGAGAGGAGATGAGATGGAATCTAAAGCACAACAACAGCAAGTCTGAAAGTAACCTCCTAGCTCAGTTGCATTTACATCATCTTTTCTGATCACAACCAAATTCCTACTTGTAAAAAAATCTGCTGGTGTTTCTATGCTTTGGAAAACCTGGAAGTCTTAGGATTAAAGTTCTTTAATTGTGTGGTAAGACAATTATGATGTGTATGCACTCTCATTTGTTGAGAACATATTACAGTACTTGCACCTGTGAAAACAGATTGCTGGTATTCTACTAGACTGTAGCAAGTTTTGCATGTAATTGCAAAGAATGGTAATTTTCAATGACATACACAATGTTCTCACATGGTTTGCAGTGCATCTTTATAAACCCCAGCCAGGATAGTTGCAAGCCAGCTACTAATGTCTGAGAAATTACAATCCTGTAATTATAGAAGTATAAGCTTATAATTTTAAAGCAGTTACATTTCATGCATCCTTTCTTCTAATCACCAAACAACAGTATGCTATGAGATCATCCTTGGATTGAAAAAAATATGTATGAGTTTAGGTAGGCCCTCAATCAGAAAAAGGTTAACAAAGACTGTGTCACAGAGTGTTTCCCCTACCCTGGAATAAAGACTTCAGCACAGTTTTAAACAAAAGATGGATTTGGATCCTTAAGACAACTACTCTGTCATTATACATGAAGTGCTGGGTTTTCTTTTTCTGTCTGGCATTTGTCTATGATCTCTGTTAAGATCTGGTATGTTTTCCTGTTTTTGTTTATAAATATAAGAATGTCCAATGGATAACATGAAGGTCTGTCAACTCCAGTGAACTGACAACAGCCTGCATTTTAGTTTTGGTAACAGAAGAGACACTGTAGAATTACTCCTCATTCATAATTTTATTGCAGTTCTTAATTTCATAGAACTCCATCATACCCATACAGATGTTCCTTCCAAGCTGAAAATGGAACAGTAATGAGATCAAATTGCATACCTATAATGTAATCAACTGAATCATCTTTACTCAAAGCAAAATGGATGTAAGAGCTCTTTACTGAAGAATATTCTCAGATAAACCACCTTTACACAGCATTACACAGAGGTTATGTGAATAGAACAAATAAATGCACTAAAACATGGGGAATAAACAGAGACCTAAGTTAGCTCAGTGTATATCAGATCTTACCTCTGTGAATGTGGATTATGTCATTTTCACTTGGTGTTGGCCAGTTTGGTACTGCTAGTTCCATGTCTGCTCGATGATTTGTCTTCTCAATGGGGATGTTAGTAGGTTCAGGTACATACATCTCTGTGAAATAAGACAAATGTCTTTCACAAATTACAGGCTGATTAACTTCCCAGTGCTGCTCTTAATTCAGGAAATACACTTGGCCATCCTGCAGTGCTTTGTCCTATGAATCCTTTCATTTGTTTAAGACCGTGACTAGTCTGGGATTTTTTTTAAAGAACCTGTTTCATACTGTATATGAGATACATGCCTGCTGCCATTATCATTATCCTAGTGTGAACAAGATTGTATAGTCCCATGGACTAGCTTGCTTTTGAATATACCATTTCCGGATAAACACTTTACTACAGCCTCTCTCCTTTGTAATACTAAACAACAAAAATTCCAAGGGAAGGCTCCATCTTCCCATCTGATTTGTAAACTGTCACTGCTGGTTTCTTTGCATTTTCGTTTTAATCCTGAAAGTAGAAGAATTGCAAGAAGGGGGTACTGCTGGATCTCTCCAGTTGTCCTGACAGAAGCAGGTACTGCCTGACAGAACAAGATGAGCGAACTCCTGCAGAAGCATATCAGGCCTAGGATTAAAAGCCAGTTGCAGTTCTTACATCCCTTGTGTCCATTGCTAAAATTCATATTACTTTTAAGTCAAGTTAAAACGGTAAGTGCAGCAATGTAATATTTGAAAAGTAAGGAAGAAACTTGAAAAATACAGAAGTCTTAATCACTGACAGAATCTGTAGAGATGTAAGAATATTAGTCTTTCTACTTCACTAGTATATTTTCATAACCTTGTGAAAGGACAGAGCAGGGGCAAGCAAGTAATTTTTGAGTTCACAGTTCTCAGAATAAGTAAAAAACATCTATATAATAGCACAATATGCCTATCTGTGAAGAATACTCATTTTCCTGATGTCTAAACATCTGTTACCATCTTGATACTGTTCAAACATGAACTGACATCCAAACACCAATTAAAAACCCTGATTATTGGTGCTGAAAAACCAGCACTACAGTAATCTGTGTTGTCTTATTGCATTACCTGGACACATGGGACAGCAGCTTCCTTCCACGTTGATGGGCTCAGCACAAGGAAGGGGTGGGCAGCTGACGGTGGAGCAGAGAGTCTGACCCTGCAGGCAGTAGCAGTGTGTGCAGCTGTCAATGTCCCAGCGTTCCTCATCTGCGTATGTTTTCCCGTTGAAGTGGCAGACCACTTTCTTTGGAACTGTATCCTCTGTTGAAGGAAAAGAGAGTGGTGTGATCATGCGGTAATGACCAATTACACACAAATATGATTTCCTCCCCAAACAGAAAAGTGAAACAGTAGCTACAAAGAAATCCCAGGTGTAACTAAACAACTCTCTACACATCTTCTAGAAAATCTGTTTTAAAAGTGTAATTTCTGCTTCTTTTTGAAGTAGATAACTAGCTTGGGCTGCTTCTCCTTTTCCTCATGCAAGGGGCTAGAGGCTAGATGATTTAGACAATAAATGATACCAGAAGTGCTGTGAAAATTAAGAAAAAGTTATTTTTTTGTTAATGTTTCGCTGACTCTCCCAAATCCTCCTCCTCTTTTAGTAAAGCCTCTTTAAGATAAAAACCAGGCTACCTGCATTTCTAATTACCAAAGTTCAAGAACAATCAACTCAGTCTGGAATACTTCAAGAAAACATTAGGCAGGATGCCAAGGAGAATGGAGCAACTCTCAGGTGACATAACTGGAAGTGCTTAGACTATTATGATAGAACAGATTTGAGGGGGCTCTGATCGTTCTCCGTAACTGCATCAATGGAAAAACCCAGAAAAGGGCAACAACCAATCTCGGTACCTTTTTTTCACTGTTAGTATTCTATAGGTCAGAAATTGGTGTAATGTTAACCCTCAAAAAATTCAGGTTCCAGAACACTTTTGCCAAATTTTTTGAGAGCTGTAAAACTAAGATGTTTTCAGATAGATTCTGACACAGTACCTAATAGGGACCTGGACTTGATGAAACAGTAAGATCTTGGGAGAACACTTAAAAAAAGCATTACAGTTTCCGCCTAATCATTCAATACACCATTTTTTAAAATACTGCATCCTATGCAGGCCTCTTAGGTGGTCTGCAGTTTACCTTCTGTTTCACTGAGAAGACAGTCGTGAATTGATTAGGGTGTTTTTTCCGCTGTAGCACTTCACAGATAATAAAAATAGAACTGCACAGCAGAACCTCCAAAAGCCAAGCAGCACCTCATCTTCATCTTGGCTTCTTGCTACCCTTTTTTCTTAGAGGCAGAAATTATTATAATGAAACCTGCTGAGGATGTGACTTTGCAGCTGAAGCATATACATGAGGTTACAGAATGGAATCGCAAAGTAACTCCTTAAGCTATCAGAGAAATACTGGTTTAAAGCCACACAGTTTACATGTATTACATTTATGTGAGAATTACCTCCCAAATATAAATAAATAGTCTTATTAAATAATTTGGCTATTAGTATAGCTTTTAATTAGTGACAACATGATAGACTGACATCATTTGGAATAACAACGTTAGCAGTCAGCAGACCAGTGCAACAGATATGGACAGTGAATCACATGCAAAAGGAGACCAACAAGAAGTACTATTGTGAAAATACTAATGGAGTTATCTGAAAAGTGCAGATGTTCCAGAGGGCCTTGGTATGGGTATCTTAGAAAAGCTCAGACTTAAGAAGGATGCCTACAGAGGGTGGAAGCTAGGGCAGGTACCCTGGGAGGATTACACAGAGGTTGTCGAGCAGCTCAGGGATCAGGTCAGGAGAGCCTTTGTGCTTATGGCAAACTCTCAAAAAGTCATCTGTAAACAAATAATCCAATTCAAAATACAATGAAAAAGTGATCACTAATCTCAAATTCTGCAATTTTAAAAATGCGTGGCAATTTTCACTATCTACAGCATCCAACATTTACTTCAACTCTAAATTCAAAAGCAGTGCATGGCCCTTAATTAAAATTCCCTTATTTTTACCTCAAATATACTGTTTTGCCTCTTCTATTACTATTTTTAATGAACTTGTTTCTTCCTGTATTTTAATTTAGACAACTTATTAATATTTCTCCAGTCTGTTAGATTTCATAATGCTTCAGCTTATCTTCTGCAGTCTTAATATTTTCCTCATATTATATACATCTTTACATAACGTATTTATTACCTGGCAGATCTTCCTTTAAAGAAAACATTTTTTGTGTAATGTTTTCAACTAGAAAGGTGTATTCCCAAGTTTTCAGGAGGATGTCCTCTCTAGTTTATAGACAAATTACATATATATCTTTGTGCACTTCTACCTAAAAATGACAAATCATGATACTTAAAGCTGCCTATGCAGATTTCACTCTTCAGTTCTGCTGAAGGCACAAACTGCATCTCCCCAAAACAGAGAAAATGTATTTCAATTTGGAAATAAAACTTCTTTGTAGTTCCCAAGAAGGCAACAGCAACTTATCAACTGTTTTTATTTGCTTACCAATACAGTAAGGACAACATTGTCCCTTTCTCAAAACAGGTCTCTCACAGGATACTGGTGGGCAAGACTCAGAGTAGCATCTAATCACACCATCCATGCAAATGCAACTGGTGCAGACATTGGGTTTCCAGGACTCAGCTGTCAGAAAAATATCTCCTTCATCATTTTTGCAATAACTGGGCATGCTCTCATTGCTTGATGATGAGGGTTGAGGAAGCTCATCTGTAAATATAAACAGATAAAGTAATTTAACTAACAGTAGCCAACTTCTCTTGTATTTCCTCAACAGAGGGTTCACTCTCGAAGAACGCAATGGAATTTTAACACATGGGCTAACCACTTCAGAAGAATTAGTAGGCCAGAACCTTATGCCTATTCAGTCCTTACATATGATAAGGATCTAATGATGTGCTCTAGAATAAAGTTTGTGTAGACCTTTACTGAGCTTATTTCCCACACCAAAAAAAAAAGAGGAAAAAAGGGCAGCAAAGTGAAAAATAATCACCATCAGAAGCAGCCTCTCAGAAACCCACTCTGAATGCTCTGAAATGAATGGTATCTAGAAATTAACCTCAAATTAGAGAGATTTAATTTTAAATCTAAAACTTGAATCCCAGCTTCTGCCATGTCTGTTCAAATCTTTGAATAATGCAAAATGAAAAGCTATTATGCTGCTGTTGCCTTCACTGCTGGACTTATATGAGCTAATTATAAGCTGTTGGGAAACAAATGGAACTTGATAGGGTTTCAGTCTGACTCCAGTGGATCTGCTTTAATTCTCTTGCCTGCACATGAGGGAGACATATTTCTACAATGAAGCTGTATCTTAAAAGACATTATGGATCAAGAAATACGACTATATGTGCAGAAAACATATAAGAAGAGAAAGAGAAAGATTCATAGGGGGACTCAGATCAGGTTTTCAGTCTGTGTAAATTACGAGAGTAAGCTCCTCATACAGCCTCTGGGGAAAATAAGCTTCTCCAAACAGTATTTTGAAGTTAGGAAAAATGAATGTTCACTGCTACTAATAATGAGAAAAATGGAAGTCAGGAGAACTAGCTAACTTTTTCACTGAAAAGATTTTGTCAGAAAAAAAACCACACCCAAACCCCAGCAAACACCCTATAGAAGAGATGGCAAACCCTAAAATTTTTCTTTTTGTAAAGTAAAATTTTTGGATTTTGTTTTTAATAAGATATATTTTCTTGGTGAGTTTACATACAATTCACAGGTTTGGAATAAATTTCCACTGCAATAATCTCCCCTATTTCCTACGTAAAATAGTAATTCATGTTCATTTATAATTGCACCTCTTTCCTCTGAGAAAAGCAAATCTCATTACCTTCTTCATACTGTGAGGCAATCCAGGAAGAGTCTGGCACCCCTGCTAGGGTGGAATGTTTTGATATTACTCAGTTGACTTCAAGCGACTCTCAAATCATACCAGGTGAAGGTAAAAGCAAACAGACACCAAATCCCAAATAGACAAGATAGTAGTAAAAAGGTTCATAGAAGCCAAGGCATGCAGAAAGGAAAAGAAATGAGCCCGTACCTGCCTAGCACTTTGACTACATTCAAAGTTTCTCTAATCCTGCATGTTTCCATAAATGGACCAGTGCATACTTCATAAACCTTCCAACGGTGGTTTGAAAGAAGACTGGTTCTCATGCAACCCCTACATTATTAGATTGCCTTCACAGAAGATTTTAAACTTTAGGGCCACAACTCCCCTTACATATAAGACATCTCTTGCACACGGTCAAGTTTTGCAGTTGAAGTAGAGGCTGATAGGTGGGCACTCCCAGCTGCTCAAGAACAAAGGCACCACAACTGGATGTGCACATACTGAAACATTCAATATTCACACCATATGTTCTCCAATCAAGAAAGGACTCTGATGAAAGCTGATTGTCAATATATACCTGGGCACTGCGGACAGCAGGAGTCTTGAGTGCGGGTGGGATTTTGACAAAGAAGGGGTGGACAGACTTCAGTCTCACAAAGGACACGTCCGCTGTGGCATGTGCATTGTGTGCAAGAATCAATATTCCATGTCTCTCCTTCTACAAAGTATTCCCCTCCAGGAGCATGACAGATAGATGGACTGGTAAGCTCTGGCTTCTGCACAATTATTTCATCTGGGAAAAACAGAATTAGAAGAAGGCAAAAGAAACTGTGACTCTAATGTTTAACAAAAGTACCCAAGATTAATAGTTTCTGTTATTACTGAAAATTTTAGGAATTACAAAACCAGCTATAAGTATATTCTTAATGAAGCTCTTTTGACTTCGTCACTTCTGACTTTGTCACCTCTATCTCATGGAAAATGGGAAAAATAGAAACAAGGAACAGTTCAAAAATCAGTCTGAATAAATACTAGTTAATATAAATCACAGATAACCTCAAGCATTCTTGGAATTTCAGAAAAAAAATCAAACTCTGATATAGGAATTCCAAGAGACAACTTATCTTTCTGAAAAATTATACTGACCTAACAGTTTCTTAACTGCTAAATATTAGCATCAGTGTAAGTCCTGAAAAGATTAATAAATAAGCTTCTCATTTGGCATTAAGGATGCCTAGATTCAACAGTCTGCCATTCAGTTTCCTGGGTGATATGTGTCTGTATCTTCTGGTACCAGATTAAAAAAAAAAACCAAACCCCTAGAAACATAAATGCACTTAGCATTGGTGGAAGTGCTTAATCAGTTTTTTTTCCATTAATAAATAAATGAATACATTGTCTGCAGTTGTTGATGTAAAAAATGGACCATAGGAGATGCCTCAGTGTGTAGACTCATAGTTCCAGTGATTATATCTCACCGAATGAGTGAGAGTGTCCTTTCCAAACAATTAATAACATTACCTCTACAGCCCTGGCTAAAAGAGTCACCCAGTCTCTAATCCAGGCAGTTTAGAGAACAGATCTGACCTCCTTCGAGTTAAGAAAGGAATGGAAACTCTTTCCCTTGTTCAGCATGAGAGTCCTCCAGTCACTAGGGTATTAAAAAAATAGGGGACTCCCTTTACCTCTTGGTGTTTTTTAAAAAAACAAACCCGTCTGTGCTTTTAAAGTGTTTAAGCACTTAGCATCAAGAAAAAGGTTATGCCATGAATTGCATTTTCATAGCTTGCTTAAAATGTTTTGAAACCCACCCTAACATAAGGGGCAATAAAGGCACTAACAGTTTCCAGTTTACCATGCTGGTTGTTTTGGGCCTGGACTGAGTGCACCAGCTTTTTTCATGCGCTGTGTATAGGAATCGAGATGCCTCACACAGCATGTTTTTATTCAATTAGAGAAGCCACGTGTTTAAAAGCTACCTGCTGCAAACCAAGCTTCAGGATTTGTAAGTGAAGTCCTTCAGCCTGAATTCAACTCATCTAACATTACAGAGCTAAGTTAGGTACTGATATTAAGAACTGCACTGCTTCAAGTTTCCTGTGCTAGAAATGGAGGGGAAGACAAGGTGACTTCCAGGTAACCACTCTACATCTCTAAACCACTTTCTGAAGCTCCCACCCTCCTACTTAATTAAAAAGATACCTAATGTAAACTTCATCCTAATTCAAATTTCTTGGTTAAGGACAGAAAAATTGAAAGGAAAGCATCTTCTCTAGTCACTTAGGCAGGCCAAGGCTCACAGAAGTGCATGTGCTTCTCTCCGCATTTGTAGCACTGCTGTACTTGTCTGGAGAATGGTGTTTTGTGCCCTTTGCTCTATGACACTGCCATGTAGAAGACACACCACTCCTTTATTTGTTTTCATTTCTGGAAAATCATTGGTAGGACTCAAGGAATACAACTCTGACCTATCTTGGTCTATTCACAAAGTACTCCTGCATTTCTTCTTTCAGGGAATTACTTTATCTTTCACTGATTCTGTTATGCTGTGCTCTTCCTAATGCTTATATTTATGCACCACATATGTCATTTAGTAGCATTTACCTGATGTGAGATAGCTGGTCTGCTGTCACTTGTCACTATATTTTTATTTCAGCTGGAACAATATATTGTGTTTTATACAATGGCACCCTAACTCACCATGACAAAGGCAATACTAATGATTTTCCTGAAATTTTATGAGTTATCTCCTGTGCATTTAGTTCTCCACCAAGTCACATGCCTCTTTTATTACAGCTCATATACTGCTCATAATCAGAAAAGCATACCCAGGCAGTACTGCTGTACACATTGTATTGCTTACTGCTCCCTTAGTAGCATTGATATTGATATCCCCCTGCAACTAAATTGCTGCAAACAGACAACTACTATATTCCCGAAGGAGCAACTAGCCAAGCAAATACACATTTCTGGGGTATAGTGTGCTTCTGTAGAACACCAGTGGTTAATGGCTTTCTCAGTCTTTCAGGAAACCTGGAGCATTTTACAAGCATTGCAACAATCCACTTAAACCTCTTAATATATAGGAGCATGGTTAAAATGCATGTTGTAGCAGTCAGCGTAGATCTTGCTTTGTTGAAAACTAATATGGAATTGCATGTAACAATTTTTTTTTTCAGTCTAAAAAATGATCTCTGAGAACTGCCATTTCCCTATTGATAGGTGAACAGTACAATTCAAAACTCAGTACATCAGGATTGCTAATTATTTAAAAATTCTTATGCCAGACACATTCGTGTGATGTGCTTACATTTTCACAATTTTAAAATGCATTCCTGTCTACTGAAATCCAGGATATTTATTTAACAACATCAGCTGGGAATCAATACCTTGCAAAATAAAATCAGAAGTACCTTTTTAACAAATCTAAAACCTTAGTGGAGGAAACAAAACCACATTGGGACTAATTTGGCCATATTAATTAATACACTTACTTATGCAATCACTTAAAAAAAATGATGTGCCTTCCCTAACATTGTAAGAGTTTAAACCATGCATGACTTTGCTAACACAGAAACTACATGACTACTACCTTGAAAGCAGGAAAGTTGTCAGACAGAGAAACCTGTTGTGTCTCAAAGGAAAGGACACTACTGAATAAGCAATCTCTTTTATACAAGAGACCAACATTTCTGGTTCTCAGAATCAAACACTGATCTCACATAGAGGAAAGCATGTTACCTGGACATGATGGGCAACACTGCCCTGGATATATGGTGGGGTTGCCGCAATTGGGAACGGGGCAGGTGATCAAGGCACACATTTCCCGTCCATTGTGACAGTAACACTCTCTGCAGCCGTCGTGCCAGCTCTCCTCATTCTCATGCCGGCGCCCATCCATTGACAGGCAAGAGCCTGTTTTAACGGGAGGCATAAGAGAAGCAGTTGCCTCTGCACAAAATCAAGGGAAAATGAAGTATCCTGATAAGCCTGTGTTACTTAGGAAAAAGAGCACACCGACTTCCTACCGGCATTGCATTTATTTTTAAGGTACATAAAAAATCAAGTGATTAATAATTCTATCATTTGAGCTTAGAAATAAAGTAACAACACACACAAAATGATTAAAAGGTATAGAGAAGGGGATGGTACGATGTAGCAGAATGTATTTCCTTGGAAAATATCATAACTTCTTTCTGTTGCACCAACACTGTTTTCAATCATACACAAATGCAGCACCGGGAAAATATTATAAGAAAAAAAAGAAACAGAAGGGACAGAAATAGTAGAATGCATGACACATATTTAAAATTAAGTATTTACAGTGTATTAGACTACCTATAATATGACTATCTGGTGGCAAGTAGAATATAAAAGCTTTTAAAAGAGGTAAGGATGGTCTTATATCATGAACAACAACAAAGTACAAGTAAGTTCTAGGAGGGTCATGCTAGATACTGGAAATATTTTGTAAAACACTTACCTAGGTTAAATTGTTTGTTTACATTACTATAATAAATGAGATGTTTGGAGGATAACTGCTCTGACAATTTTATCCCTCATTCCTAGCTTTTACTGAGATCAGAATACAGTAGCCTGGACCACTGCTTTACTTCCACTCAGCCAGAACATGCAATTGGTCTAGGAAGGATAAAGTCTCCTTTGTATCTTAAGGGGTATTTAAGTGTTGCAGGATTCAGTCTCAATATATTCTTTGTTAATCAGCATCATGAATTTAGAGCCCAACACTCCCTTATCACATCACTATGATGATGAAGGATTTAGGATCAGTTTGCCAGTGAACTGACTTGTTTTCAGTGGTATGTCAACCATGACACTTATATATATATAGGCTTACTTGTATTAAGTGGCTTATTTAATTTTCTGTTTAAAAAAAGATGCAGTATGAAAAGTAGTAATGTTTACATGTCATTTTAGTAATAGTTTGTTTTAGTTTGCTTTTATTTTACTAACTTGCTTCTTCAGCTATGGTGATCAAAGGTGGTGTAAGAACCAGAAGCAGATAGTACAAAGTTTGATGCATGTTATTGGAATAATAACCCAGTACACAGAAATTACATTAGTATATAATTTTGTGAATTGAAAAGCCATGGCATAAGGCTAAATTACTTCTTAAAAGACTTCATCCTATTCCATGAACAGAAATACTATGAAAAGAAATTTACATTCAGTTACTATGCTTTTATGCTTCAGTATCAGATGATATATTAATTCCTGCTTGAATTAATATCACTGGAATGCTGTCCTACATTAAAATTATTACTGATACAGCAAAGTCTTAGATAGCAATACCTTTCCCCCTCCTTAATAAAGTATATGATGTAACCAGACTTTTTTTTCCTGAAATATTCTGAAGAATGCTCCAAAAGTTGAAGAAATAAACCAAGCATATAGGCAAGTAATCAAAAGTAACTTCAGAAACTGAGATTGTTTTCAGTTTTTAATTAAAATTAATACAAAAGATAATACTTAAATAAGAAGCCAAATGCCCAAATACACAGTGGGAATAACTGGATAACTAGAGGGATGGTTGAAATGATTTGGGATTACAGGAGCTCACAAATAACACTGAGGTAGTAATATGATGCCACTGCACTGAACTCAAGTTCAGTCTAAGTAGTATAGAAGCACTGCCAATTTAAATGCAGGAGTCCTATCTCTAATAGTCAGGAGCTTCTGCAACTGCTTATGCACAATATCCATTTTTTGAACTGTGATAAGAAACCAAAATAACTGGATTTGATTTAGAAAATAAGCCTCCAAAAACATTTAGGGGACTCCAGTTGCAACCCCTTAAATATCGCAAGAATTCTAAAGGAAATTGTGCTTAGCTCTTCCAAATGTCTGCTGAACTTACTACAAGAAGTAACTGGTTCAATTTGTAGAATGGGAGATAGAAATATTAGAAAATGTATTTAAAATGTTGTACAGGTAGCCACCAGGAAACATGCAGAGTTTGCAGAGTTTGTTTGTTTGTTCTTCTTCTTGTGAGAGTGGAGATACTTAATAAATTAAATCTTAGATCAACATCTGTCAAGGATTATCCAGATACGCTCTGTTGTTAAACAAGGGCAGAGAAACGAACTCTCAGTTTTCCAGAGGACTACCCCAGCCCTGTACTTCTATGGTTCTACTTCTGTTAATCCTAGCATAAGCTATTTCTGTCAGAAGCGATTTAGAAAGTAGGGCTAATTCACAAGCAGGGGATTTACTCATCCCTTCTTCTTACTTAGGGAGTTTGGGTCAAAATTTGACCAAGGACTCAGTTGTCTACCATGTATGATGTAATGTGGAGAAAACATAATGTTCGCTCCTGATTTATACAATTGCATTTTTGCCTTCCACTACAGGAAAGTGACTACAGGAACTCATACACTTTCTTCCAGTCTTGTGTTCCCATAACTTATCTTGTTATATTTTATCAGTTTTTAAAATGCAAAAAAGCTAGCTGCTAAAAATGTTAGGAAGATGGGAAAACACTAAAACTTAAGTGCCTACAGCTTGAAATCAGTATACACAAGTAAGAATCAAACAAAATAAGCATCAAAGAGCAGTTAGGATCAGAGAGAGCCTAAGCACAAATGAAGTTATTAAATGCAACACATGGAGATGAGCAGAGATGAAGGAAGTCTGATACCAAGACTAACACAAAACAGAAACTGAAAATATCTTTTAAAAGAGACATGCTAAAAGCAGCATAGAACTAAAACAGACAACTAATGAACATTTCATCTCAATCTCCACCTTGAACTTGGTGGTTACAAATTTGGAATGTGACACATGTGAAATCTTTAGCTTAAGAATAGCCAGCCCCTTCTCCTGAGTAAGTGCTCTCTCTACTCTTGGTTCCTTGAGACTGCCTGAAAAGCATACAAGAAACAGAACTGTAATTTTAATGACAGGGAACCAATTTTTTTGACTCTGTAATGGGACATTAAAGTGGAGCCGAGGCTTTCTGCTGAAGCCAAGATGAACACAGATAATAACAAACATCTGGAAAACAAAAAACTCCTTGGAAAAAAGTTGAACTGACTCTTCCACCATTTACTATCTTTAAGCTCTTATATATTCTGTGCAGTATTCCTTGCTTAGGAAACAACCTGTAATTAGAGGTGGTAATGCACTGGAACGTACCTCTGCACTTGCAGATAACGCAGCCATGCTTGTTCTGCTGGAAGCCCATCGGACAGATTTTACCACAAGGCAGTTCTGGGCATTTCTTACAGCGACAGATTTCACAGCCATGCTTGTTCTTCCTAAATGACAAAAATAATTTGTAAAAGGTCAGCAGGTCACTTTAATTCTCTAAATGTCATGATCTTTAAAGCAAAAGCATCCCATAAAGAAGTGACACATCAAGTAAAGAAAATTATCATTAACTGTAACCTTTAGTTTCAGTGGGTCTATGGGGTCTCCATCCCTGGTATGTGGTCCCTTCACAGGACTGGCAAAATCTCAATTATCACACAGTTGGATGGAGAATGGAAGACTTTCTGTCCTCCTTTCCATCTGTTTTTTCCTTCTTAACTTCTGTAACCACAGGCTTTTTATATAAAAAGAAATCCTTCTTTCCATTAATGTGCAGAGCTTTCTAACACTTAACCCTGTGGAGCATATCAAACAGGGTGGGTTTTTTTTTACAACTGTGTGGAGGTTTTGATTTAAGATGCAGGAACCCCGATTTTCTTATTACTAACCTTTGACAGTCTTAAAAAAAAATAACAATCACAAACATGATGATTATTCCTTAACTTTGCACTCTCTTATATGCTTTTAATACTTACATCTTTAGTCTCCTATTTGTGACAAAGGTTTGTGTTAAAATAGAGATTTGTCTTCCATTACATCCCATGCTTTTGATGGTCATAACAGGCTTGGAAGATACATAAGGTTTGCTATTTTAGAAAAGAAATTGGCACAGTAGCAGTACTGAACCAAATAAATGTACTACACAACTGCAAATTGAAATAATTTTAGCACTAGAGTAAGATCTGAAGTGAAATGGTCTTAAAGGAGTTCTTCAGAATGTGGACCTGTTGGAGAGTGTCCAGAGGAGGGCCATGAAAATGATTAGAGGTCTGGAGCACCTCTCTTATGAAAACAGGCTGAGGGAGTTGGGGTTGTTCAGCCTGAAGAAGAGAAGACTCTAGGGGGACCTTAGAGTGACCTTCCAACACCTAAAAGAAGGCTAAGGAAGACCTGTTCACAACAGCATGTAATGATAGAACAACGGGTAATGGTTTCAAGCTAGAGCAGGGTAGATTTAGGTAGACCTAGTTTCCTCTGTCATCTACTATGAGTTTTGAGGACAGAACTGAAGTCTGATGATATTTTTGCTGTCCCTCATTTTGTCCAATTTCCATCCTATCACTCTCATGACTTTTGTTTCCTGCATATCTAATTCTGCATCTCAAGTAATAGATACAGAATTGTATTAAATGGTATTTGTTCTGCTGGACTGCTATTATGTAGGCATTTTCAAATTACACTAGGGATGCCTCAAGCATACAAGTCAAGTAACCTTTCTAACACTAAAAAAAAAAAAATAAAAAAAAAATCAATGTTTTGAAGACAAATATATTCTTGAAATTTTTTTTTTTAAATGTGTGTGTGGCTGTGTTGCAGCAAATTTATGCCATTATTGTTCCTCAGGATATAAGTCTGGTTTTTGTTTGATGTAATGCCACGTCCTGTTTAGCTGCAAGCACAATGCAAGAGCTGTATGGGCAATAAGAGAGAGAACACAACCATCACAGTCACTTCAGTGGAACACCACTCTGTGGCTAAGAACAACATGAAGGTTAAAGGAAGATATAGGCCTGGTATTCTCTTTTTTTAAAAAAAATCTGGCAGCTGATGGTGACAACGTCCTTACAATGCAGCTTGATTTCTGTTTTTCTAAAACCTCTGGTACCTCTCTGGTCATTTAGGTTCAATCACATTTTGATTACCCCAAACTTTATTAAAACTATATACTGAGAGAAGGACACACTACCCTGTAGATTACTTTTAGAAAAGCCTGCAGCATTTATGAACAACTGTCCAACAGAACTCTTAAATGAATCAGAAATTAAAGGAGTATTACTGTCAAACACTAAGAGCTGCAACATTAGTAAAGTTCATTACAAATCCTAAGAAAACAAATTACACATGAACATTATCTGAAGACCAGCTGTCATGAAGTAAAAAGGAAACTGCTATGAAAAGCAGGCAGTAACATGGAGTGGACCCATCAAAAGTAATTGTTAAAATATGTAGAGAAGCCAGCAGATTATTAAGAAATTTCTATGTGACAAAAAATCTACCCAGTTTTCACCACCTGTTCCACAAACTAGTAACTATTGCAAATCTTTCCTTTTATGGAGAAAGAACTTCAGCAACAACACAGGTTTTCAACAAATTTGCAAGGTGGTTCAATGATACTGTTTTCCACAAACCCTGTAAAGTAACTACCAGAGGTGTCTCACTATAACTCCCCTGCTGTTCCACCAACATTAAAAAACACTGAAATATTAAATATTTTGAAATACAAAATATTGAAAATAAAATATTTTGAAAAAAATAAATGTGCTATAAAATTAAAGACTATCATATTGGTACATGCAAACAAATTTAAAAAAGCTACATGCAAGAGATGTTACTTGTAAATAGCTTTTTCATCGTGTCAAATATTCTTAAAAAAACCCCAAAATTAAGCAATGTTTTTCTTTTATAATCAGCTGCTTTTTTTAGTTGCTGTTTCTTAATCTATTGATCAAAATAGATTTTGAAGAATACTTTAATCTCACATCAAGTAACGACACTTCTGTTTTCCTGCATTTTCCCCTGCTTTGCCACAACGTAAACACAAGTACCTACGCCTGGATTTTACATATTTTCAATATGTGCAGGGATTGTATTAAAGATGCTTTCAGAATGAGAATACGTACAAGTATCCAAAGGGACAGTACTTGTCACATACAATGGGTTTGCACTTCTTTGGCCGCGGTCGGCACTGACAGATCTCGCAGTTGTGAACATCAGTCTGGAAGCCGAAGGAACAGTCCAAGGAACAGCCTGAAATGAGGCCAGTGCACAGCTCCTCCCCTGCAAAGGACACATGCTGATTATTACAACGTGAAAACTATTTAAACCAGAAAACCACATCTTTAGCAGACCAAATCTTCTGTTCTCTTTTACTTCATAACTATTTACATACTGGTAAGCCTTCCCTTTGGACTGTTCTAATTTAAAAATATTTGACAGAATTCTCTAGTAATGACCCCAAACCATATGAGAAGACACTACAGGATGTCTTCAGTTCCAGTCAAGAACTGGAGGAGTACTACCTGATACCCTAAAGTAACATGATTTTATGAACAGATGCACAGCTAAAGGAGTCTAGTATCCCTTACTCTGCTGGCCTTTAATAAAGCATTTAAAATAATACATACTTTCAACACATTACATGGATTCAATAGATTTCTTAATTTCAATATGAAGCATCTTTATTTCTCCTCTTATTTTAAATAGAACTGAAAGGCTGGAATATATAAAAAACTTAGGTTCTTCATGCTGTTTGCTGTCAACTGTTTGGTGATTAAGACCTCCTTTTAAAAAATATAACTGTAATACCCCAATATGTGATATAAGCTTAGAGATGCTAGACTTAAAGACCTGTCTCTTGAAGTCCACTACTATGATGTTTTATCAGCCTCCTGTGATATAAGGGAGATGGTGGAAGGCTGGCATCTCAGTTTCTCCAGTATAGAGGTAAATAATGGTCATTGTATTCACTATAACTGGAATTGACAATTTTGAGAATTATGAATTTCCTTTTCTTCATCTTGAAAGTAGACATGCCAGACAGACCACTCTTAACATACTCTGGGATGCAAAGTTCATTTATTAGTTGGACAGGTGAGAGAGAAGAGGAAATTATTTTTGTTATGCTAGGGATGCAAAACACAGGGGGAAAAAAAAGACCATTATTACAATAGCCAAAGTGAGATCCAAATAGAGAAAGAGGGAAAAACAATTGAGATTTTTCAACAGAAGAGTATGACAGGTTATATACAGAGGTTTGACTTTCAGAGTGATACTTATAGGATGGCTGATCTCCAGTTAAAACATCCACACCACTGTAAAGTGCTAGTTACACAGAGGGCAGCTGAAGAGTGCTCCTCCAGATGTGCTCCTCATTCAAGCTGATGACCACTTTCCTTTAGAGGTATGAACACTTAGGGACAGGATTTATCCAAAGAGGATGTCAGCACACTGATGTATTTTGTGCCTTCTGTGGATCCAAAATTTAAAGGTAATTTTCATGTCTCTAACGCCGTAATATACTGAAGGCAGACCACAGAAGGAATTTTGCTTTACTTAAATGTTTTTTCTTCTATTTTTGTAATGTTGCATTTAAGACTGCAAAATGCAGACTTAAACAGATGTGGCTAAGCAAAGTTGTTCCTTCTCTACCAGGTTAATGCTCATTTGGTAAAGGAGGCATGTTTCTTTGTATGACAGAGTGAAACTGAAGCCTCTGAGCTAACTAGCAAATTCACTGTCTACTTCTGCAGTAGAATGTGGCTGTACGAGTGCAATGCAACGTAAGGGCCTTATTACACCAAACAACAGTTCTCAGTTGAAGCAGGATGAAGATCATCAGGTTCATTGGCTCCCACCTCTCCACTTTTATGTAGATTTGGTGTCTGAAGTTAAGAGGATGCAAGTTTTTTTGTCATTCAGAAAAGAATACAGAAAAATAAATGACAGATTCTTTCACAACCTCGAGAAGTTGTCATTGTCAGCAGAGCACTTATGCCACAAAATGTAAGCATTTACTCTTAGATATAACCTCCGCACAGCATTGATAATCCTTATCTCAGCTTCTTGCTTTAGTTGGAGAGAAACACACAGAAAAAGATCTTCATGAAGTCTTACAAAGTTTTTGAAGAGTACTATTCAGGCTGATACATTAAGAATACTAGATCTTTTTAATATGTAGGCACTAATGCTGATTTAAAAACATAATGCAGAGGAAGCTCTGAAACTCTTCTCTGGTAAAGAGTGATGCATGTGTAACAAAGAAGAACACTCCTTGGAGCAAGTTGAAGTAATGAGAATTTGCCTTTAATTTATGAGCTTTTACACTAGACTGTTTGTACCCAATTATTGCCTGACAGCATATAGTGATAATAAAATTAACTAAACTTTTCACCATGCATAACTTTATAAGGTAGTAATGATTTTTAAAGTTAGACTTGAACTTTATGAATGTATTGAAAAGCACACACACCTACACTGGAATATCTCAAAAAATAAATAATTTCAGTTTTGAGCTTTGATATTATCTAAGTTATGATATCTGCTGCAGATGCTCAGAACTGATCAATGAATAATCCGAGAATTGCACAGGTTGGATCTATCAGAACCACTTGTTTTCTGAAACATACTTTGTTATGGAGATAAAGCGTCTAGGGGGCTGTTCATAAACGTCAGGCTGATGGAAGACAGGTCAAAGAAAAAGAAGGTGAAAATGCAAAATACCATTAAAAATCTGGCTATGTCCAATGTACAGAGAAAGCTTGCTGAAGTCAATATAGACCACTCTTCATCACGGAATTTATTACTCTAATGTGAATGCTATACGAGAAAATCAGAATAATCTCCACAGATCTCTGCTGACAGACTTTCTAATAAAAACAATTCCTTCTGAGAAGATGATTATTACTAAAATTAACACTTCATCATGCTTAAATTTCAGGTATTATGACATTACAAGCTGTGGAAATTGATTTTAAATAGCTTTGAAAAAAATTCTCAATGAAGAAAGTTATTGTAATGAAAATCAGAAAGTAAATTCTGCTCTGCTTTCTGAGTTCATATACAATCATCTAAATTTCTCCTACTGAAACATTTTAACAATTACAGACAGTCTCAAATTGAAGACTGGGACACAGACACAGGTTAATGTCAGCTACATGTTGAAAACCCTAGTCCAGGGTTTTAAACTGGGTGTTTTTTTCAGAAAACAGAATGAGTCACCCATTTTAGAAAGCAGAGTGTAGCTCTCAGAGAAAGAAAGGAAGAAAGAAAAAAAAAAAAAGAGAAAAAAAAATCACAAGTCTAAAGATTGAAATGTGAATGAAATTCAGAATATGGAATTGTTACCCTGACAGTATTTCTATAGCTTTAACTATAGCTTTAAATTCATCATTAATAAAATAATCACAAGTTCATTACAAAAGGATATGTAAAAACAGGTTTTCTGCTAAGGCTTTGCATTTCAAAAGACAAGTACTAATGAATAAAGAGAATTAGTTCATGAAAGTCAACTGCAATGAACTAAGGAAATCTATTGTGGCAAAACATTAGGAGGTTACTTGTTTGGGGGTTTTTTCTGCCTCTGCTTAGATAAACATAATAATGAACTGGAATCCCAAATCATGGAATGTATTTGCAGAGCAGAGATCCTGTCCTAGCTGGGCTAATAACTGCTTCAAAACTGTACCAAGGGGTAATCAAGACAGTCTGAAAGGAAAGGATAGGAAACATTTGAAAAGCTAACGCAGATGGAAAACTACCTGTCAGAGTTCTAGAGAACAGCATTATGCATCTTCACATCACTGTAACTCTAACAGAGTGGGGTCAAGCTTCTGATCATATAGTATAAGCCATCTTTATGTCTATGATTAGTTCTAATGGCATCTCCCGGGGAACTAAACTAATGGTTGGCTACGGGATAGAAGATGACAACAGACACAAAACTATGAAAAGGAAACCAATTGAAGGGAAAACATCGTGCTGCTAAGGGAAATACCTGTCTGGAAAATAGAGTTCTTCTCTGTGAGTAGCAGAAATATTTTTATTAATATTTCTTACGAAATACAGAATGCATCAATGAGGTAGTGTCAAGACAGAAAACAATCCTTCTACACAAGGTAACAGGAGGGCTTAGGGGGATAAAATAATAATAGTGGGGTGAAATATGATACTGAAAATGTGTAAGGTTGTGCCACCCATACGGAATAAACAATAAGTTGTGCTACAAACAGAGTTCAGGCACAGGATATTGGTTGATCTCAGAATGATACTGAGATGATATGACTTTAGAAGATGACCATGTGTTCCTGAATGTCTCAGGCTAATATAACTGTATTTTTACCACAAATACTTAGTTTTTTAGTATGAGGATAGACATTAGCTGAAATGCCATGAAATTCTGGAAGAATTTCAACTCAACTAAGTACAGGAGAAGGCTAGGACAATAACCACAGAAAGGCTGTCTGCCGTCAACCAACGACACCTTTAAAACAGACTCCTGCTAGGAATGAACATGCAGTGAATACTTCTAGGAATGAATCCAGCCCACACAACAAGCCCATGCAGATTGATTTTCCATGTGCAACCACAACTGCAAAAGCAGCAGCAAAGTCAGTTACCAACAGGTCCATGTTTCTAGCCAGTGTTTTCACTAGACCTCACAATAGTGGCAAAAGCTACTGCTTTATACACTTTGACCCCTTCAAACACTGCAGTTCTAGCAAATACTTAGTTCTGTAACTTCTCTTATTAGCGAACAAACCAATATTAGCACCAAAGTTTTTAAACCTGGTCACAATTGCCCATAAACTCATTTTAAATACAGTAGTTTATTTCTCTTCCTTTCTTTACCTGCTCACAAACAGTTTAACACACATAGAAAATAATAAAACAAATATTAAAGTTTCAGAAGACCATGATATTGGGGAATCTGTTTGGGATATGGGGGATGGGACAACACTCTGAAGAAGAAAGTCTTAAGAACAGATGATTTCCAAGATATCATGAAGCTCTATACAGCACACTGCACACAAACTATGTGGTGTTTTATAACTCTTTTCCACTAAGTACCTTATTCTCAACACTAACATCAACTCTTGTTTTAAAAAGATTGTCTGATCACTGTAAGACTGAGTCACTGGCTGGTAAATGAAAGAAAGGTATGTACAAAAATCAGCATGTAAGAGCAGGTTATATACTGACATGACCTACTATATTCCAGGGCCCATTCTGCAAATAAAACAACAACATTCTGTCCCAGGATATGCAACCTTAGCAATCTC